TGGGATGATAAAGTGTCATCATCCACATTGATTAAATGGAAAAATTTTGTGGAACAATTTTCAAAAATTGATTCAATACAAATCCCAAGATGGATTAATTTTTGCCTAGAGGGCACAATTCAAATACATGGGTTTTGTGATGCATCTGAGAAAGCCTATTGCGCTACAATATATATTCGTACGAATACAGAGAACAGCACAACTGTAAAATTATTGATGGCTAAGAGCAAAGTTGCGCCATTGAAAAAAATAAGTTTACCAAGACTAGAGCTTTGTGGTGCCGTATTGCTCTCATCTTTGGTAAAATATGTTGTCTCAAATTTGACTATTAAAAATTGTTCTGTTCATTTATGGACAGATTCAACAATTGTATTGGGATGGTTGCAAAAACATCCATCCACATGGAATACGTATGTTGCAAACAGAACTGCATTAATATTTCAGAATGTTGAAAATGGTAAATGGAGACACGTTTCTACAAAGTGTAATCCAGCAGATCTTGGAACTAGAGGTTCCAGTACTGAAGATTTGTGTAGTAATTCGCTATGGTGGAATGGTCCAATATGGTTACTTAGTCCTGAAAATAATTGGCCAAAATCAAGTATAATTTTACAAAATCCACCAGAACAACGAAAAATAGTTGTTCATTGTGCACCAATTATTGATAAAGATAATTTGATAATAAACAAGTTTTCTTCTTACAACAAAGCATTGTGGGTTGTAGGATACATATTTCGTATGAAGAAGCGTAAAGAAAAAAATGAAAAGTCTGAGTTGACCAATGGTAAGATTCTGTCTCACGAAGAGTTAAATCATGCAAAATTGGTTCTTGTCCGAACAACCCAAATGTTTCATTATCCGCAAGAGTATAATGATTTAAGAAATTCGAAAGACATTTCACGTCAAAGCTCATTGCGCGCACTAAATCTGTTTTTGGATAAAGATGGCATAATAAGAGTTAATGGTCTATTAGCGAACGCTAACATTTCCTATGATGAACGATTCCCAATAATATTGCCAAATTCGTCGCATTTCTGTAAAATATTTTTAGAATTCATCCATAAAACTATGCTGCACGCAGACATATCGTTAATGATGTCAACCGTTCGAAGCCAGTTTTACATTCCAAGTTTAAGACGGACAATAAAGAAAATTGTTCATGAGTGCTTGATTTGTACAAGATATAAACATAAGGTTAAATCCCAGATAATGGCAGCACTACCTTTGGAACGAACGGCTTTCACTCTTCCTTTTACATATGTTGGAGCAGATTTCGCAGGCCCATTTCAGATCAAGGCAGGTTCTTTAAGAAATTCCCCTTACCAAAAGTCGTATGTTTGTATATTTGTATGCTTTTCGACAAAGGCGATTCACCTCGAAGCTTGCTCAGCATTATCAAGTGATGCTTTTCTTGCGACATTTACGAGATTCATAGGTAGACGAGGTTTGCCCAGATGTTTAATGTCTGATAATGGAACAAATTTTGTAGGGGCGAATAGTATACTTATGAGAGAATATCAAGAATTTCTTAAAAAATGCTCCAAAGAAGTATGTGAAAAGTACATAGTCAATGGCTTCGAATGGAAATTTATCCCTCCCAGTGCTCCACATATGGGAGGATTATGGGAAGCAGGTTTAAAAGTTTTAAATCTCATTTCCAAAAGATAATGAAAGATAGAAAATTCAATTTTGAGGAATTTTCAATGATTTTAGTCAGAATTGAAAGTGTCTTAAATACGAGACCGTTAACACCGTTATCCGAAGATCCAGATGATTTAGAAGCTTTAACACCAGCACACTTTCTGAGAGGTGGGTCACTGATATTTGCTCCAGAAATGCCAACAGAAGATTTATCACTTATAAATCGATGGGAAAAGGTTAAAGCTCTTCATTACATGTTCAGCAAGAGATGGAAAAATGAATATATCCAAGAGCTGCATAAACGATATAAATGGTAGTATCCCCAACGGAGTCTGAAGGAAAACGACATGGTTTTGATAAAAGATGAACTTTTGCCATCGAATGACTGGAAAATGGGGCGAGTTTTAAAAGTGTATGAAGGGCATGATGACCACGTAAGAGTAGTTGATGTTAAAACTACAACAGGTATCATATCTCGTCCAATTGTTAAACTGTGTGTACTTCCAGTCAATGGTTGTTAGTAGAAAGTAGTGTGTGTGTTTCGAAAAGATGTAACTTTGATTAACATGTCATGCCTTAAATGGCATCCTTTTCGTCTATATTATTTTTCTCTTAACATTAATTGCAGTTGTATAATCATGAACATGGGCTAGATAGAACAATGTAGCCTTCAAGATGATGTCTGTAGAGCAGAGAGAAGGCGTAGTACTTTCTCACAAGTACTGCATTAATTGCTTGGGGGCAAATCATTTTGTCCGCAATTGTTTATGGTCAGGCAATTGTAGACTGTGTGGTGCTCGCCACAACACCATGCTTCACCATTCATCGCAACCAACAAAAATAGAAAATGGCAATCGCTTAATTATTGGAAACCTACCGGCAACCAGATTTCACCCATACGCCAATCAGAGAGACGTACAACGACGACAACAACAAGAAATACTTAGTGGTATTCAGATAAGAAATTCAACGAATCCGCAACAAGAAGCAAAAAGACTTCAACAGGAAGCCAAAAAACTACAAAAGAAGGCGAAAGATTTACAAAAACAAGCTAAAATAATTCTGAAACAAGGCCAAATGCAGAAAAATCGAGGCAAAGAACAGACAGCCAACAAAAATCCACATTCGAAACGTCAACTATCCAAAAAAGAGAATAAAAATCAGCAACAACAAACTGAGCAAGATCACAACAGTTCGGAAGCTCAACAACAACCGGTTAGATTGGATAGAGTCTTAGATGTGCTGGAGAGGATAGCGACTGCACTATGAGTTGCACCAGTGCAAGGGGCCCGGCATGTTGGGAATCTTCCCAACCCCTTGGATGATGATATCGAAATGGACCTCATCGACCTGGATAAATAATTAATCGATGAGGTCCCATCACCACCAACAATAAAAAAACCACTCTTCTTCTTGAAGTTTTTAAAACCCATAGTGTCGATCGCCAGATCAATAACAAATAATAAATTAATTACAAATAAATTGACCGCCAGCGTCAAACGTTTGAATTTGAAAGTTTATTTTTTGTGTTTTTATTTGCAGACAACAAACGTAAGTATCGTCAGAATACTTGTTGTGTTGTTGTAGTTTGCAAATTTATATTGTTGTCCGTCCTGTTCAACAATAATCTTCGATTCTAAATCTACTCAGTAGAATTAGAATCCCTACAAGTCCTTTCGACCGTTTCGGAACTTGTACAGTAGGTTCTAAATTAAATCAAGTAATTATAACTAATATAGAGTTAATGAGGAATTTTTATTGATAATAAAAATCTATATTTTTTATTATTTCTGAAATTTTCAATTATTGTAATTACAAATTGCCCTTTATTGATTTGATATAAAATATTTCCATATTATATATTCTTAATACTTAACGTTAAGAAGAGAAATTGAAACAAATGTTGGCCTTTATTACTAAATTGTATGGGCAGGACTGAAATGTGAATTTAAGCATTACTATAAAGTTTTACAGAAGTTTCGGATCGCTGCGGAAAATTCGATTCGGTCGCTCTCTCCTCGGAACGAGGTATTGAAGTGTTACCTATATGAGATTTTGGTGAAATTACAGTTCGTGACTTAGGCGGAGCCCGTAGCACACCTAACTTTCTATTAATGGACGCTAGAACATTTTTAGTAGCTCGGATGAATAAATCCAAAGGAGTGAGTGGCATTTTAAATGCAAATCGGAAGCAAAACAAATTAATAATGTTTTTTATGACACGTAATGTCTTGTTTGGAAAACAAATGCAGTCGAAGAAAATGAAATAAGAAATTAGTGAAATTGTAATGAAATTTGCACGAAAATACTTGAAATATTTTTAATAAGACACGTAATGTCAATGAAATCAATGTTTATTTAATGAAAATACACTGATTGTAGATAGTCATGGACTCCTCGCAGTGTCAGTTGAGATTAAACGTGATTAAACCACAAGAAAAAAATATAAATGAAGAAATTGTTCAAACTTTTCTCACAGTGTATTTAAAAAATTCTGAAAGTTATGTACAATGTATCGTAAAATACACGTAATTTGTCGCAATGTATCGTAAGTAACACTTGCCGACAAGAATTTTCAAACAACAATTGTAATAGAGTCGAAAAACCCAAAAATATGATAAATCAATAAAGCCGATTGTAGGGTGCACAAATCGTATGTCGTTCAGCGTAAAACAAGAAACAAAACAGTTTTCTAGAAAGAGTTCGCAGAAATAAATAGCAATATTTGTATTAAACGTTATTTAATAAAATATTACCACGCACATATATGTATGTGTATACCGAATGTAGGGTGATAATGTCGGAGACTGTGAAATTCATTAACAGTAGTTGATATCCAATAGAAACAACAAAAAATTTAATTGAAGTTGGCACTTTCAATTTTTCAATAAATAAAATTTTGATAAATGGTCGTGAACACACCTATTGTATGTGATTGTCTATCATTTAACAGTGAGTGTCACTATTGTAATTTACACGAATATGTATACAAAGCGGAACCAACAATCAGCGGCGATGACAACAAATATTCCTTTCTGTTATTGTTGTTATGTTTTACTACTTACATGAAGATGTAAAACACAAAAAGCGCAACGAGAAAAGAAATTAGAAATATAAAGAACTATGCCAAAAATATAAATAGGCAATGAGAAAGTATGCAATTCTGTGATTGTGGTCGTGAGTGTATTTTGTTGGAAACAAAAATCACTTTGACACTATTTTGTTGTTGCGATAAATGCCGACCGCAATCCCATAGGAGACGGACGGACATAAACACTTGTTGAAAACGACCCAAGGCTTTGTTTTGTTTTATTAACACAACAATAACTATGTTCAAACGTAATTCACAGTATACATACCTCTGTTGTGGCGGCTAATTAAAATGTAAAATAATTAATTAGATGTGATGGTGGTGATCGATAATCCCGTTGTTGTTGACGACGTAGTCGTTGTATCCTCAGTGAGCAAAGAGACGGATCGTAGAATCCAAAGTTTTGCTGTGAAACAGTCGTTTCTCTATTGTGTTTCCTCGTGAAGGAAGAAGACAGATCGCAAATCCGGCTCGAAGGACCAATGTTTGCGGAGCAAAAAGAAAATAAAAGAAATGGAAAAAAATAAAAACACAATCAAGTAATATTTTTTCCCTCTGAGCAGTGGACTGTTCAAAGGGTTTTTGGAAGTAGGACGTAATCCTATGTATGTTAGTACTTGTACAGTCGGTAGAATACTGTAATGGCGATAATCACAAGACGTCAATCCTTAGGAAATGTCATTACCTGTGACATTATGTACGAAGTACAAAGTCGTATTAAGAGGTAGTAGACATTACCTAAGGAGGAAAAAATTCACCCGTGTGACAAATATGTAATAACGCAATTCAATGAAAATTAAGTTTGAAATTAAACAGGCTTTATTTTCATTTCCACTGCAAAAGAATTCATTTCTGTTGCAAAAAGTTTTTATTTCAATGAAATGAAAATTTTTGCAATTGAAATGAAACATTTTGCAGTGGAAATGAAACTATTTGCATTTGAAGTGAAACCTTTTGCGACCGAAGTGAAACTTCTTCAAATCAAATGAAACTTTTATTTTTATAGATGGAACATAACAAAACTATTAATCTTACCTAAAGGATTAACGCTTTGCAGCTTGTTTAATTTTTAACAGCAGATCCATTATAGAGATAGAGCAGTCTAGTTTTGTAGGCTATTGAATGGCTTTATCACGTGCACAATTTAATGCCTTGTTGAAACGTCCCGTCCCATCTCAATATTGTGACATCATTGAATCAACTTTGATCATGGTTGGATATACTTTAAGGGGTCTACGACGAATACTTAGAGGTGTTACACACGAAATGACACATTAAATATGCCCCATTGGTACTTTAACTATTGAACATTATAGTAAATCTTCATTTCGTACTTCAGTCCTGCTCCCACAATTTATATTAATAAATGCCAAAATTTGTTCCAATTTCACTTTTTGGTGTTAAATATTTGGCATATTAATATAGAAATATTTTATATCAAATCAATAAAGAGCAATTTACTATTACATTAATTGAAAATTTAAGAAAGAATATTACGAAAATATGGATGTTAATAATCTATAACAATTCCTCTTTAACTATATATTATTAATGATTAGTTGATTTAATTTAATACCTACTAAAATAGAAATGTATTGTTATGTGTCTTTTTATAAATAAAATTGTTTCATTTGATTTGCAAAAGGTTTACATAGGAGACGGACGGACAAAAAAACTTGTTGAAAACGACCCAAGGCTTTGTTTTGTTTAATTAACACAACAATAACTATGTTTTGTATGTCACTTTAAACGTAATACACAGTATACATGCCTCTGTTGTCGCGGCTAATTAAAATGTAAAATAATTAATTAGATGTGATGGTGGTGATCGATAATCCCGTTGTTGTTGACGACGTTGTCGTTGTATCCTCAGTGAGCAAAGAGACGTGTCGTAGAATCCAAAGCTTTGTTGTGAAACAGTCGTTTCTCTATTGGTTTTCCTCGTGAAGGAAGAAGACAGATCGCAAAATCCTGCTCGAAGGACCAATGTTTGCGGAGCAAAAAGAAAATAAAAGAAATGGAAAAAAATAAAAACACAATTAAGTAATATTTTTCCCTCTGAGCAGTGGACTGCTCAAAGGGTTTTTGACAGTAGGACGTAATCATATGTATGTTAGTACTAGTACAGTCGGTAGAATACTGTAATGGCGATAATTACAAGACGTCAATCCTTAGGAAATGTCATTACCTGTGACATTATGTACGAAGTACAAAGTCGTATTAAGAGGTAGTAGACATTACCTAAGGAGGAAAAAATTCACCCGTGTGACAAATATGTAATAACGCAATTCAATGAAAATTAAGTTTGAAATTAAACAGGCTTTATTTTCATTTCCACTGCAAAAGAATTCATTTCTGTTGCAAAAAGTTTCATTTCAATGAAATGAAAATTTTTGCAATTGAAATGAAACATTTTGCAGTGGAAATGAAACTATTTGCATTTGAAGTGAAACCTTTTGCGACCGAAGTGAAACTTCTTCAAATCAAATGAAACTTTTATTTTTATAGATGGAACATAACAAAACTATTAATCTTACCTAAAGGATTAACGCTTTGCAGCTTGTTTAATTTTTAACAGCAGATCCATTATAGAGATAGAGCAGTCTAGTTTTGTAGGCTATTGAATGGCTTTATCACGTGCACAATTTAATGCCTTGTTGAAACGTCCCGTCAATTCAATGATGTCACAATATTGAGATGGATATTGTGACATCATTGAATCAACTTTGATCATGGTTGGATATACCATTTCCATGGTGGTACTTTAACTATTGAACATTATAGTAAATCTTCATTTAGTACTTCAGTCCTGCTCCCACAATTTATATTAATAAAGGCCAAAATTTGTTCCAATTTCACTTTTTGGTGTTAAATATTTGGCATATTAATATAGAAATATTTTATATCAAATCAATAAAGAGCAATTTACTATTACATTAATTGAAAATTTAAGAAAGAATATTACGAAAATATGGATGTTAATAATCTATAACAATTCCTCTTTAACTGTATATTATTAATGATTAGTTGATTTAATTTAATACCTACTAAAAATAGAAATGTATTGTTATGTGTCTTTTTATAAATAAAATTGTTTCATTTGATTTGCAAAAGGTTTACATAGGAGACAGACGGACAAAAAAACTTGTAGAAAACGACCCAAGGCTTTGTTTTGTTTTATTAACACAACAATAACTATGTTTTGTATGTCACTTTAAACGTAATTCACAGTATACATACCTCTGTTGTCGCGGCTAATTAAAATGTAAAATAATTAATTAGATGTGATGGTGGTGATCGATAATCCCGTTGTTGTTGACGACGTTGTCGTTGTATCCTCAGTGAGCAAAGAGACGGGTCGTAGAATCCAAGGTTTTGTTGTGAAACAGTCGTTTCTCTATTGTTTTTCCTCGTGAAGGAAGAAGACAGATCGCAAATCCGGCTCGAAGGACCAATGTTTGCGGAGCAAAAAGAAAATAAAAGAAATGGAAAAAAATAAAAACACAATCAAGTAATATTTTTTCCCTCTGAGCAGTGGACTGTTCAAAGGGTTTTTGGTTGTAGGACGTAATCCTATGCATGTTAGTACTAGTAGAGTCGGTAGAATATTACAAGACGTCACTCCTTAGGAAATGTCATTACCTTTGACATTATGTACGAAGTGCAAAGTCGTATTAGGAGGTAGTAGACATTACCAAAAAGGAGAAAATTCACCCGTGTTACAAATATGTAATAACGCAATTCAATGAAAATTAAGTTTGAAATCAAACAGGCTTTATTTTCATTTCCACTGCAAAAGAATTCATATCTGTTGCAAAAAGTTTAATTTCAATGAAATGAAATTTTTTGCAATAGAAATGAAACATTTTGCAGTGGAAATGAAACTATTTGCATTTGAAGTGAAACCATTTGCGACCGAAGTGAAACTTTTTCAAATCAATAGAAACTTTTATTTTTATAGATGGAACATAACAAACCTATTAATCTTACCTAAAGGATTAACGCTTTGCAGCTTGTTTAATTTTTAACAGCAGATCCATTATAGAGATAGAGCAGTCTAGTTTTGTAGGCTATTGAATGGCTTTATCACGTGCACAATTTAATGCCTTGTTGAAACGTCCCGTCCCATCTCAATATTGTGACTTCGGTAGACAGACAGCTAGACATCATTGAATCAACTTTGATCATGGTTGGATATACTTTATGGGGTCTACGACGAATACTTAGAGGTGTTACATACGAAATGACACATTAAATATGCCCCCTTTCCAGGGTGGTACTTTAACTATTGAACATTATAGTAAATCTTCATTTCGTACTTCAGTCCTGCTCACACAATTTATAGTAATAAAGGCCAAAATTTATTTCAATTTCACTTTTTGGTGTTAAGTATTTGGCATATTAATATAGAAATATTTTATATCAAATCAATAAAGAGCAATTTACTATTACATTAATTGAAAATTTAAGAAATAATATTACGAAAATATAGATGTTAATAATCTATAACAATTCCTCTTTAACTATATATTATTAATGATTAGTTGATTTAATTTAATACCTACTAAAAATAGAAATGTATTGTTATGTTTCTTTCTATAAATATAATTGTTTCATTTGATTTGCAAAAGGTTTCATTACCTTTTGCAACGGAAATGAAACCTTTTGCATTTTATGTGAAACCGTTTGTAACCGAAATGAAACTTTTTGCAAATCAAATGAAACTTTTAGATTTATAGAAATAAATATAACAAACCTTTTTTATTTTTAGTAGGTTCTAAATTAAATCAAGTAATTATAACTAATATAGAGTTAATGAGGAATTTTTATTGATAATAAAAATCTATATCTTTTATTATTTCTGAAATTTTCAATTATTGTAATTACAAATTGCCCTTTATTGATTTGATATAAAATATTTCCATATTATATATTCTTAATACTTAACGTTAAGAAGAGAAATTGAAACAAATGTTGGCCTTTATTACTAAATTGTATGGGCAGGACTGAAATGTAAATTTAAGCATTACTATAAAGTTTTACAGTTATACATATTTTAATAATCTCACCTAAAGGATTCCCGATTCGCAACTTGTTTGACTTTTAACAGCAGATCCATTATGGAGATAGAGCAGTCTTGTTATGTGGGCTATTGGATGGTTCGCTTCATCACGTACACAATGTAACACCCTGTTGAAAATCCCGATATCATATTCAATACCAAACATTTTAGACACAATACAATATTGTGCCAAATTTCAAATCTATACATCAAATTTCATATAAATATCGTAAATACGACAAACAGACAGCTGAACATTATTAAATCAACTTAGATCATGATTGTACATACATTTTGGGATCTATGATGAATATTTAGAGGTGTTACAAACGGAATGACAAATTTAATATACCCGCCTTTTCATAAAGGAGGTTATAACAAGGTATAAAATTCGGGTCTTTAGGAGAAAAGACCTTGAATAAACATTCTTTTAATTTTTCCGAATCTACACTTGCGTTTTATAGCATCGTGTGATACACTGCAAATTAAAGAAATATTATTATAAAAATATAGATATTAGTAATCAATTAAAATTCCTCTTTAACTATAGCATTTTCTGATTAAATGAAACCTTTTGCAACTGAAGTGAAATTTTTGCAGCGGAAATCAAACCTTTTGCAGTGGGAATGAAACCTTTGGAGGGGAAATGAAACCTTTTGCAGCGGAAATTAAACGTTTTGCAACCGAAATTAAACATTTTACAACCGAAATGAAACTTTAAGATTTGTAGAACGAAAAATAACAAACCATTTTTATTTTTTAGTAGGTTTAAAATTACATCAGTTAGTTATAACTAATGTATAATTAGGGAGGATTTTTTATTGTTTATTAGTCTCTATGTTTTTATAATATTATTTCTTAAATTTTCAGCTTCCATTGAACGCAAGTGTAGATGCAGAAAGATAAAAAAAGTTTTTCAAGGTTCAATTTGAAATGAAAATTTTTGCAGCGGAAATGAAACCTCTTGCAGTGGAAATGAAACCTTTTGCAGCGAAAATGAAACCTTTTGCAAAGCTGAAAATGTAAGAAATAATATTATAAAAACATAGATATTAATAAGCGATAAAAAATTTCACTTTAACTATATATTAATTATAATTAGTTAAATGACTTTAACTATATATTAATTATAATTAGTTGATTTAATTTTAAACCTTTTCACTGCGAATTTCAGATCATTAAGCTCGTCTCGAAAGAGAAATCAAACACTAAAATAAAAATGTTTTGTAATTTTTCCTTCAATAAATGTAAAAGTTTCATTTGGTTTGTTCATTTCATATATATATATATCATATATATATATATATATATATATATATATATATATATATATATATATATATATATATATATATATATATATATATATATATATATATATATATAATTTTTCCTTCCGAATCTACACTTGCGTTTTATAGCGTTTTTATAGCAATATAGATATTAGTAATCAATTAAAATTCCTCTTTAACTATAACAATTTTTGCAGCGGAAATGAAACCTTTTGCTTCTCAAAGACGAATTATGTACACCTAAATTCACATTATTAGATTGGCCTACGTTGTTTTCACTTAGGTCTTTAGATGGGACCATGTTTTATCATAACTTAGAATCATCTATATCACAAAATATTCCAAAAACCGCAGCTTTTAAGAATGTTGGTCCTCCGTGGAATGAAATGCTTTCAAATCCCAAATCCTCCTACGGTTTTATAAATAATAAGCGCCGATATAATGGATTTCCAAAAACGTTAAAATTTTGTCACATTGCAGAGGATGATATTGAAATCTCAAATATTTTGGCACCTTTTTTTGAAACTACATATTCCACGAAATCGCACAACGATAATTTCCTATACATTACTTAGTTTCAGAATTTTCATCAATTCATGTTCCCAGTTTCAAAGTACAGACTGTGTTAAATAACTTAAAGGTGCTCAAAAGTACGACTGTTCCCGGCCCTGATGGAATTCCAGCATGTATACTAAAAACTTGTGCCGAAAATTTAGCATTGCCTCTCTGTATGTTGTTTAATAAATCGTTAGGTTCTAGTTATTTTCTTGAATTGTGGAAGGAATCCTATATTGTGCCCTTTTGAATCAGGTAATAGAATTGATGTCACAAATTACTGAGGTATTGCAAAGCTTAATGCCATACTAAAACTTTTTGAAAAGTTAGTTACTGATATAATATAATTTCAAGTATCGTCTATTGTATCAAAATTTTAGCATGGTTTTAGAAAGCATCGCTCAACTGTTACAAACATTTTGGAACTTACTACTGTTGTAAATGAAGGATTTGAATGAAATGCCAAACAGACTGTGTTTATACTGATTTCAGTAAGGCATTCGATAAAGTAAACCATAATTTATTGTTATTTAAGTTGCATAACATGGGTTTTAGTGCCTCATTATTAGATTGGATAAAATCTTATTTAACAGGAAGACCACAAAGGGTGAAATATGGCAACATAATTTCGAATAAAATTAATTTAAGTTCTGGTGTACCACAGGGAAGCTGTTCTCTTTACACTATTTATAAACGACTTACCTAACGTAATATGCCATTCTAAAGTCCTAATGTATGCGGATGACGTAGAAATATTTCTTCCATTTAGTGCTGAATCGAATCAACAGCTTTTACAGTCCGATCTCAACAACTTTTACCAGTGGTGTATAGATAATCTTTTGGAATTAAACATTAAAAAATGCAAACATGTGTCATTTTTTAGAGTTAAGAAGATCGCGTCGAGTTACTATTTTAATAATTGTCTAATCGACTCTGTAACATGTATGAATGATTTTGGAATCTATTTGGATCATAGACTTGACTTCCGAGAGCATATTTCTTTGACTATTAATAAAGCATAAAAAAGTTTGGAGTAAAGAATTCTTGGATCCATTAGTTTGTAAACAACTTTATATTTCTTTTGTGCGCTGCATTTTAAGGTAAGGTCACATTGGGCAAATATTTGACGAAAAATGTCAAATATTTCTTTGTCACAATCTGACCAACAAATATTATTTGACGGCAAATACAAAAACAGCTGATTTTGGGAAAACAAAGTTATTTGCCGGGAAACAAAAATTTGACCAGTGTGTCCATTATTATTAATTACAATTATTTTCCTCATTTTTTGTCAAACATTTATTTGACGTTGCAAATGTTTTGTAAGGTCAAACAAGGAAAAATATCGGTTTAAAACATTGTCGCACCATTTTTCTTTAAGAAAAGAAGCATTTGTAACATGATGTTTAATGAATATAATGACAAACAAATGCAATAAGTAGTTTTGTTGGTTTGGTATTTTTGAATTAATTAACAAAGCCCACCAAAGTGAGTAGTAGGTCCAGATTTCTTCTCAGAATAATTTTCTATATCTATATATATTTATATATAAAATGTTAATATATGGTTGTTCCAGAATTGCATGAATGTAAATATTTTTACTACGACAACCGATTTTGCCTTTATGATATCGAAGAAAATTGCAAAACTAGTCGATTCTTGCAGGTTCTGGAATAGCCCAATAATTGAACACAACAGCATACTACTCTACTATGAATTTTATGCACCATGATTTATATGCATACTTATACGCGTGCATATAAATATACAAAAATGCAAAAAAAAGTTGTTCTGGCAAGGCATTTATTTCACAACAGCCGGTCTTTTGTTTCCCTTCTCCAAAATAAATTACACCCGAAACTCTTTTTATTTATGTCTCTCTTCCACTCTCTCTGTCTATTTCTCTCGGCCAAATAAACTTATGTTTCCTCAGAGTTTGATTAAACAATTTCATGGGGAAAATATATTTTATGAATGTGAACATGTGTCAAACATGTTTTCCCATAGCACTGTTATATATATATATATATATATATATATATATATATATATATATATATATATATATATATATATATATATATATATATATATATATATATATATATATATATATATATTCATATAACATGAAACAAATCAAATGAAACTTTTACATTTATTGAAGGAAAAATTACAAAACAGTTTTATTTTTAGTAGGTTTAAAATTAAATCAACTAATTATAATTAATATATAGTTAAAGTCATTCAACTAATTATAATTAATATATAGTTAAAGTGGAATTTTTATCGCTTATTAATATCTATATATATTATTTCTTAAATTTTCAGCTTTGCAAAAGGTTTCATTTTCGCTGCAAAAGGTTTCATTTCCACTGCAAGAGGTTTCATTTCCACTGCAAAAGTTTTCATTTCCGCTGCAGTTTCATTTCAAATTGAACCTTGAAAAACTTTTTTTATCTTTCTGCATCTACACTTGCGTTTTATGGAAGCTGAAAATTTAAGAAATTATATTATAAAAACATAGAGTCTAATAAACAATAAAAAATCATCCTCACATTGATGTAATTTTAAACCTACTAACAAATATAAATGGTTTGTTATTTTTCGTTCTACAAATCTTAAAGTTTCATTTCGGTTGTAAAAGGTTTAATTTCGGTTGCAAAACGTATCATTCCCACTGCAAAAGTTTTGATTTCCGCTGCAAAAATTTCACTTCAGTTGCAAAAGGTTTCATTTGTTATTGATTTTGAACCAACGTAGAGATTTATTAAATAAATGAAAAAATTTTCATTGAGTTTCATTATTGTAAAATTAACAAAATTGTTCATTAATATAATGAAAATTCTTTATTGATTTATATATATATATATATATATATATATACATATATATATATATATATATATATATATATATATATATATATATATATATATATATATATATATATATATATATATATATATATATATATATATATATATATATATATATATATATATATATATATATATATATATAAATATATATATATATATATATATATATATATATATTTATATTTATATGCATTTGAAAAGCAAATTCGTTTCTATTTAATTATTTTTAAGGATTTTTTTAATTGAAACATTTAATTTAAAGTTATATAACAATATATAAAATAAATAAAAACTATACCATATATGTACTGAATTCAAAATTTTTAATTAATAAGATTTTAATCACACATTACATTTATACTAATAATAAAATAAAGTATTTGAAAAAAAAAAGGTTTTTTAATCCCCAAACTAGAAATTTGTATGAACATTTTTAGAATCTGTGAGAATCATTGCTTTCAGGAATAGTTTTATTCCATTAATGAAGAAGTTTCATTTCATTTAAGCAGATATTTCACTGCACTAATGAAAGCGTGTAATGTCAGTAATGTTGAAGTTTCACTGTATTCATGAAAGTTTTTCATTTCATGAACGAATGTTTTTCATTGCAATACGAAAGTTTTTCATTTTGTTAATGGATGTTTTTCGCTGCATTAATGAATATCTTTCATTATATTAATGAAGAAATGCCATTGCATTAATGAATTTGTTTCACTAAATCAATAAAGAATTTTCATTATATTAATGAACAATTTTGTTAATTTTACATTAATGAAACTCAATGAACATTTTTTCATTTATTTAATAAATCTCTACATTGGTTCAAAATCAATAACAAATTTCATTGACGGAACGTAGGAATTCATTTATGGTACGAAGCTTTAGAAATGATTAGTTTCATGGAAAACGAACAACACCTTCAACATTTAACCAATGTAACTCTTCAAATCTTATTTGTAAGTTTTACTATTATTTTCCATGCTTATCTAACGACACCCAATTGCAAAATATTTTCTTAATCTTTGCAATAAAAACTGATGACCTGAAAACAAGAAAAAAGGCGTGTTTAGCACCAATTATTAATCAGATGATTACATTAGAAGTTAATGGATTGGAAATTAATTTATCTGACGGTCAAAAATATAACCCCCATTTCATTCCTGTTCTAATTTTGGGAGATAATCTTAACAGTTTGATGGGATGTAATACGACATTTAATTGGACATTTTGCCGTTTTTGTTCAATAAGTAAAACTTTAAGTGAAACTTCACCCACAGATTTACTTTTATTGCGTCGTACCAAGGATAATTACAATGAACAACTTGACCAAGAAAATCCCAAAGAAACTGGTATTGTGCAGAAATGTTTTTTCAATCGAATACGTTCGTTCAACGTGATCGATAATTTAAGCGTCGATGCTATGCACGATTTTCTAGAAGGTATTTGTCACTACGATATGTGTAAATCTATTTTGTATTTTATAAATGAAAAGAAATACTTTACATTCGAAATTTGAAACAATATAAAAAAAAAGTTTGAATATGGTGAAGTAGAAATAGGGAACATTTTTCAAGATATATCCATAAATCACTTAAAACGAAATCGGTTACGAATATCTGCTCGTGAAATGTTAATGTTTGTTCTTTATTTTCCAATAATGGTCGTTGATATGGTCCCTGAAGATGACGAAGTTTGGCAATTTATTCATAAACTTATAAATATAATAGATTCAATATTACTTTTCGAAATATGCGAATTATCTATCGAGTCATTTAAAACTGATATCGAAGAACATAACAAAAGGTACCTACGTCTCTTCAAAGATAATTTAAAGCCTAAATTTCATATGCTAACTCATTTCCCTGAAGTAATGGCTGCATGCAGTCCGGTTCGTAAATTTTGGAGCTTGCATTATGAAGCCAAACACCGTATTATCAAACTATATACTCATGCAACTACTTCCAGGCGGAATTTAAGCATTTCAATAGCAAAAAATACAACCTTTATTTTGCCAATTATTTGCTTTCACAAACTGAAAGTCCAAATATTCAATGCTCTAAAAATGATATTTCCACAACTAATAGCTTCAAAAATTATATGTCATTTATTGTCCTTGTATGAAAAAGTATTGTATAAAAAATTTATTCAAAAAATATTTTTTTTTGTAGCCACCAGAAATTTTGATTATGAATTATTTAAAATCGTTAATATTATTGTATTTGACAATTCTATAGCGTTATTTGTTCAAATAGTTAACAATTTTAAATATTTAAAGCATTATACTGCATTTCAAATTGATCCTAGTGACCTGGGAGACTTTCACGTACTTACTACGGATTCATTAGTAGGGCCTCCAATAACCCCTTTGAAAACAGCACGAGCAAAATTTATGCTTCGTGTACAAGAAACGCGCTAACTGCATGAACATTTTTTTTATTTTTTTCTTTTATAGATGTACCAGCCACTAATAGTTCAATCCACGATCTATTAAATTTTTGAAATTTAGTACATCTCACCGATTTTTATAAAGGTATTTTTTAAAATCATGATTACAAAATGTTTAATAATATTCTTTCCAACAGATGAAAATATTAGCATGGCAGTTTTAAAGATAATGAAAGAAATTTGGGTATAGAGTCATCTTTAAACACAATTTTCGAAAATGGAGAGATGAAATTGAATCTCCAATAAGCAGTTCCAGAATTGAATCGTTTTCGCAATCCGCACCGAGATCTATTCCAAGTAAATCGCCATCAGATTGTACAGAAAACATTATACAAACCACTGTACTGGACATATTGAAGGATCATAAAGTCGGTGACAGCATTATGAAAAATTATAGGAAAACGGAACAAATATCCGACAAGGAAAGAACTATTATTATTGACTTAATAGTTCATAATTTCCACAGCAAACAATTGAATATGACTTTACAAGATAGTTACCGGCTCGAAAAGGAAATTATACATTTTTTCCCACAGAAAAATGGAATACTATCGGACAGACAAGCGTCGAAAAATTTATCTAAAAAAAACAGCTATACAAATTACATCAAAATTGTCCATTCCCCTAAGTACCAGAAACAACTAATACACCACAAGAAGATGAAGGTATGTACTAAGAATACAGCTTAATATGTTAAATAAATTGTAAAAAAAAAACATCCTTTCTATTTGCAGATGAAACCGTTTTTGCTTACATAACAAGTGTCAAATATGACAATTTAACGCCTGAGCAATTTAACAAAGCGTGGAGAGTTTCATCGAAGTTCAAATTGAGGCAAATTATAGATGAAAGTAAAAATATAGCTGATATTTTAAAAAAGTGGTCACAATATAAATGCCGGACGGCTGTCAATTGGTAAGCTAACATTTTCATTTGTATAAATAGAAGGTGCGCTGATATAGCTTTATATTGTTTTTTTTTTCTCTTCAGGTTGACATCGACTTAATAAATACGGATCATCCTTAATTGAGTGGAATGACAAATTAATAAAATAAATGAAATTATAATGTTTTCTGTACAATCTGATGGCGATTTACTTGGAATAGATATCGGTGCGGATTGCGAAATCGATTCAATTCTGGAACTGCTTATTGGAGATTCAATTTCATCTCTCCATTTTTGAAAATTGTGTTTAAAGATGACTCTATCCCCAAATTTCAATTTCGGAAGTAGGTCATATAAATCTTCATGAGACATTAACTTTAAAACTGTCATGCTAATGTTTTCATCTGTTGAAAGGAATATTATTAAACATTTTGTAACCATGATTTTAAAAAATACCTTTATCGGTGAGAAAATCGGTGAGATATCTGTTTACGCGCGTATTAATAAAAGATGTTGCCGGCTTGGATGTTGGTTGAGTACTAATTTTATTTAAAAAATATTGTTCTTAAGAGCTACATATGTTATTCGAACTTAGCCTAATGCAACCTAATAATAATTCTTATCTCTTCCTTCTTAATCCAGTGATCTTCTCTACCTACTGTGTGCATAGATAAGTGCGTGCGTGGGTCACAACCTTTATTATCATAAAACTTATCGTATGCACCAGTGTACATGATCAATGAAGGTTACACATATGGATTTAATGGCTGGGAAACTCACATATGGATTTAATGGCTGGGAAACTCACATATGGATTTAATGACTTCTTGGAAATTGATAACATTGAAAATTCTATCTTAAGTACATAAAATTCATAGCAAATAAGCAATAACATTTATGACAGATCTACATTACAATTTATTATCTAAGACACTTAATTATTTTATTACTTCTTCTAAGCTAGACAAGATAAAAGAAAGATTCATGTTCATATTTTTATTAACCTTCTCCCGGCCGGCAGATACTTTATTAAACATTCGGCCTTCCTTGGAACTGAATTGCTGCTATCCGTCTCCTTATTATTATTTTCCTTATAAACTGAGTTAGCAACATTATAACTACTATGGTAACTAAAATAAATGACATGTGACCAGACCAATTATTAAATTCTAAACCTCTTAAATTTAGTTTCTGCTTCTTCAAATCGTCCACGAGCGTCTTTAGCTGGCTGATCTCATTGTGATGTTTCACCAATACGTTTCCAAGGGGTTTTATGGCTTCTTTGTCGGCTTCACTTACGTCCTTTAAAAGAATAGAGTGAAATTGAGTTGACATTTCATTTCTTACCCGATGGACCGCCACTAGAGTCACTTTGTCAATTCTAGCCGTGCAATCTGTATCAAGGTCTAGAATACCTTGTTGTGGAAGTTCTATGATGGATTGCTGCTTTTCGGAACACTTAATATGAGCCGTTGCATTCTTAAACGTCTTAAAAAGCCAATTTCCCTTTTGCCTCAGCTGTATCCAATAGGGACTGTTTTCAACTTCATCGTACCTGCAGTTTATCTCGATGCGCGGCCTCAGGGGTGACAGTTCGCAATTGTTGGTCGACGCATCTCGCCAGGGAAAATTTTCTTCGCATACAATTTTATCTCCCAATGTGTTTTTACATTCGTTCAACATGACTTGTGTCAGATAGTGGAACGAATTCAATTCAAAATTGTACACGATGTATGGCGACCTTATCCTTGCTATCAATACCGCACCGTCATGTTCAAATGGAATCTGGATTACTCTATAGAACTGCGATGACTGTCTGTTGAAAAGAGGTATCTTCAAGTCGATCACCAATTGTGTGCCGATGTACATTCCACGTCCCCTCATCAAATGTAAAACCTCCTTAAGTTCTGTACCAGAAGATTTTCCGGGTAAAACATAGTTCGTGGGCAGCTCATTTCGAATTTTAAATATTTCCGACTGCAATTTCTCCGGACTTATGAGCACAGGGTGTATATGACCATTATTGATGTCCAGTAACAGGTTAATGACTTCCTTTAGCACCTCGTCACATTCGTCTATGTATTCATGGATTTCTTTAGTTATAATAAAGAAACGAATAGATTCTCTATAAACGAAGTAATTTTCGTTCATGGTGGCGGTTATGTTATCAATTTTGCACTTTACCTCCACAAAGTGCGAATTGACTTCCTCCGTTGTTCTTTTTAGCAGATTGACCGTGGAATCAACTATCGATATCTGCTTTTTTGACAATTCTTTTAAGTCGTACTGGTTGGCTAACAGATTTCTCATATTATTTTCCATCGCCACACGATCATCGTCGTCCATCACACCAAATGCCCAATGTTGAAAAGACCCTATGAACTTCAATGGGGCTCCTCTTCTTTGCCGTTTATCATCCCTCATGAAAAGCCGATTATTCGCCTTGATTTTATTTACTTTATATTCCATATTGTTTATTACCGACCAGCACTGGTCTTCAAATGTTTGGAGCCTTGGACATATTTCTTTAGAGGCGTTGAGCAATGTGGATGCAAGATCCAGTGTTTCTAAGTACGTTTTCATTTCAAAATATACAATCATGTTCCATGAAGACGAGGCCATGTGGATTTGAGAGATTGGATCAAGATATATTGCCGTCGAACTATTTAATTCTTTTACTGATGAGGCCTTAGTCGTCATAATCAGACAAAGATTTATCATCATAGTCCATATCATAAAGGAATTTGCTGTTAATCTTGGTAACTTCTTTGTTGAGTTCACTTCGACCTCCTTTTTCTGCGTATCTTCTACCTTTTCCTCTTCAGGTCTCTCATCTTCGTGCTCTAATGGGCATAATTTATGTACTGGTCTTTTTATTTCTCCATTTTGTGTTTTCAACGTAACAACTCTCACTATTCCATCTTTGCCCGGTTGTACCTCAGTCACTCGCGCCAATGGCCAACGAGCTGGGTGAGTCTCTTCATTTCTGATCAGCACGATCTGTCCCACTTCCAGATTGCGATCTTCTTTTCTCCATTTTGGGCGATTTTGCAAAGTAGTCAAATATTCTTCTTTCCACTTTCTCCAAAAGTGGGTTTTTATTCGTAGCAGCAGTTTCCACCTGCTCACACATGCTAAACTTCCTTCATCGATCTTCGCCGGAGCTTCTAATAACGGGCGTCCAACTATGAAATGCCCTGGCGTTAAGGTGTCGATATAGTCTGTGCCGCTTCCAAGATCATGCAACGGCCTTGAGTTTAAAACTGCTTCAATTTGAGCTAGAACCGTGCTTATCTCTTCATATGTTAATTTTATCTCGCCAATGATTCTTTTAAGATGGTATTTCATTGACTTAACTGCAGCTTCCCAAATTCCTCCGAAGTGAGGAGCTGCCGGGGGGATAAAATGCCATTTTATTTGTTCATTCTCCAGATTTGGCGCTAACGTATTGTTGCTTTTTATCGCCTCTATATAATCTTTATCTAGCTGCCTTGATGCCCCGACAAAGTTCGTTCCGTTGTCGGAATATAAATCGCTTGATTTTCCTCTCCTTGCGAAGAATCTTCTCAGCGCTGCTAAAAATGCTTCTGCCGTAAGCTCGCTAACTGCCTCTAAATGCACCGCTTTCGTCACCATGCACACAAATACTGCTACGTAACCCTTCATAGACTTGGTTCCTCTCGTTTTCGAACATCGTATTTGAAACGGACCCGCGTAGTCTATTCCGCAATGTTGAAAGGGTTGACTTATATTCACTCTACTCATTGGTAGATTTCCCATTAACTGATTTTGTACTTCTCCCCTATAGCGCGTACATCGTGGACAGCACCTGACGCAGAGTTTTATTCTATTTTTGGCTCCGATTATCCAATATTTGCGCCTTAAAACATTTTCCATCAGCCGATTTCCTCCATGCAATGTTTTCATATGAGCTCTCCTTATAATATTCGCAGCTAATCGTGATTTTTGAATCAGTATTGGATGCTTTTCGTTATAGGTTAGCTCTGACCAACCCAGTCTTCCTCCTACTCGCATAACCCCATATTCGTCGAGCTGCGGATGCAATGATGCTATATTGCTTAGATGATTTATTGCTCCTGAAGTTTTTAGCTGACTAATTTCCGCCGGCCATTCAATTTCTTGGTGCATTTTGATTAAAGCAATTTCGGCCTCTTCTATTTCTTCCGCAGTTAAGTGCTCACCTTTTACCTTATTTCCTCTCAGTTTTTTAATAAATCGTAGTATATAAGCCATGACTCGTAACTGCTTCTTAAATGATGACAACTTCATAAGTTGCTCATAGACGCTTTTTTCTACTGCCGCAATTCTTGTCGCTGCTGCCACTACTGTCGGATTTAACTTGGGCCATTCATTTTCATTTTTTATCAGCCATTCCGGCCCTTTCCACCATAATTGACAGTTGGTCAAAATCTCAGGAGCAACGCTTCTGGAGCCTAAGTCTGCTGGATTTTCTTTTGATCTAACGTAAGCCCATTTCGCTTTAGGGATTCGTTCCATAATTTCCACTACTCTGTTTCTAATAAATTTATCTTTATTTTTTGGGTTGTTTATCCATGCCAACGTAATCATGGAATCACTCCAAGCATAAATTGCCGCCGCTGATGATAATACTTTTTTTATTTTTTGTAGTAGTTTCGCCAAGAGGTGGGCAGCACTTAGTTCCAATTTTGGGAGGGTCTTGGTATTTTTAATAGGATTGACTTTGACTCTTCGCAGCCACGATTGCAATTAGAGAATCCACCTTTAGATAAACTACTGCCGCATATGCCTTTTCGGACGCATCAGCAAACCCGTGTAGCTCTACTCCACTGACTGGTGCTATTTGAAACCATCTTGGTATCTTCACGTTCTTTATTACGTGGAGACTATACGCAAATTTCTTCCAGTCATCACTCAATTTTCCATTCAACGGTATATCCCAATCTAATTGCTGGATCCATAACTGCTGAATAAATAGTTTTGCTGTTATGGTTACTGGTGTCAGCCAACCCAGTGGATCAAATATTTTCGCTAGACTTGATAACGCCATTCGTTTGGTCACCTTGTCGTCCTGTTTTACTTCCATACTGAATGTAAAGCAATCCATCAGTGGACTCCATTGCAATCCTAGCGTTTTCAAGCAGTTATCTTCTTGAATTTGCAATACTTCATTTTCTTCAGCCCGATTTACAGCTCTCAATATATCCGAAGAATTTGCTATCCATTTTCTTAAATGGAACCCATACATTTCCAGTTGCTGAGCTATATTCTCTTGTACTTCCATACATTCTAGTTTTGAATTCGCTCCTGTAAGTAAATCGTCCATGTAGAAATCTTCTTTTATTCTTTTGGCTATATCTTGATTCTCGCATCGATTTGCAATTTCTATCAGCGTCCTTACAGCCAAATGTCACTGTGGTGAGTTTGAATTGTTGCACTGGCTCGCTCTTGTTATTTCTCCACAGGACATATTGGTATTCTTGATCTTCTTTGTCTATGTTTATTTGTCTAAACATTTTTTCTACATCGGCTGATATGACAAATCTCCAAGTTCTCCATTTGGTAATAATATCAAATATGTCCTTTTGCAACTTTGGACCTGTATGCATAATGTCATTCAGCGACTTTCCATTTGATGTTTTCGACGATGCATCAAACACCACTCTTACTTTTGTGGTTAAGCTGGTTTCACGTATCATTGCTTGATGCGGCATATAATATTTTCCTTGTTTTCTCTCTTCTACTTTCACCATGTGTTTAGTTGTAATTAGATCATCTATTGTTTTTATGTATTCTGCTTTCAATTTCGGACATCCTTCTAATCTTTTATATGATTCTCCCAAACGTCTGTCTTCAGCAAATGGCAATCGCACTACAAATCTTCCCGCTTGATCGACTCGTGTTGTTTCCTCATATAGTTTTAGACAGTAATCATCTTCTGCTATCGTTTCTTCATCTTCAATCTCTTCTATTTCCCAAAACCGTTCTATTGTCGTCGTCGCAGCTGATCTCACGTTATTTCCTCCGGATTTCATCTGAATTGTTCCGGAAAGAATCCATCCTAGTTTTGTATTTTGTGCCACTATCTTCTCTTCATGGCGAACACCTTCTTCCAATATTTGTTGGAAAATGTCCGCGCCAATTACCAGATCGATTCTTTCAGAATTATAAAAATTTGGATCTGCTAGAGTTATGTTTTTCCATTTCTCCAAGTCGTAATGGAAATTGTTGTCGGTATGAGCTGATGCTAATTTCGACAAGACTAGTGCTTCCGTTATAATTTTATTGTTGCTGAAAAATCTCACCTCAGTCCTTGATCTTGGTAATTGTAGCAACTGCGCCGCATCTTCGGATACAGAAGTTATCTGTGATCCTTGATCTATCAAGGCTCTTAAAGTGATATATTCTCCATACCAAGATTTGACTCGAACTTGAGCTGTAGCAAGAAGAACATTTGTTGTTGCATGTGTGGTCATGGATTTTGTGTTGCTTGTTTTTTCCAAGTGGACTAATGTGTTATGCTGTAATCCACACTTCTGGCATTTGGAATCACTCAGGCATCTTTTGTCTTTCGAGTGCTTAATACATCTGAGGCACATTTGGGCTGCTTTCACCCAACTAAATCTATCGTTTGCCGGTTGTGCCGCAAATTTTCTACAAGCCGCAACTTCATGTCCAATCAGCTTACAAAACCTGCATTGCCTCTTTTCCAACCCTCCGGATTTATCTTGATTTTAATACGTTGCTGAAACAGCATATTTTTTGCTCGTTGATGCTTCCAAGGCCTGGTATTGCTGTTCTAAGAAGTCCATTACATCTTCAAGTTTTTGGATCTCCTTTGATTTTTTGACGTTGTGCTCATATTGAATGAGTCCATCTTTATCCAATTTCCTTATTATTATTCTGGCTATTATAGGGTCCGCATGTTCCAACGGTATACCCATTGCTCTCAACGCATGTATGCTTTCGTTAACGCTATCTACCAAATTTCGTATGCTTGCTGCAGATAGGCTGTTTATATTCGGGTGATCCAAAATTTTATCAATCAATTTCGTGAATAAAATTCGTTTGTTGTCATAGCGTTTTTCTAATAGTTCCCACGCTGCTCTGTAGTTTGCCTCTGTCACTTGCAAATGTTGCACCAAACGAAACGCCTCTCCTCTCAGATTAGTTTTGAGGTAGTATAACTTTTGTACCTCGGATAGTTGAGCGTTCCTATCAACCAATTTCTTAAATAAATCGTGGAAGGAACTCCATTCCTCCATATTTCTATTGAAACATGGAATCTGTATTCTTTTTAACTCCACTGCCTGAGATTCTTCTTTTAGGCCACCTATCTTTAAAATAATATTATTTATTTTCGTATTCATTTTCCTTTCAATATCTTCCAATTCATCATCCACTTCTTCCATTCCATGTTCTGTTGTTAATTCTAAATGCAGTCGTTTTATGTCGTCGAATTGCTTTTCCCATGAAACCTTCATATTTTCCAGAGCATATTTACTTACTCCTGAAATATCTTCTTCTATGGAGTCTGAAAGCTTCAGGATCTTTCTTCTGAATTGGGAAAGCACTGCATTTTTCTTATCACTGCTAGCATGAGTGGTTACAATGGTTAGTTTTCCATCTCCTTCTTCGCCTTCTTTATTATTTCCATATGGATGTTGAAACTGCAGCATCTGCCTCATTTGCTCTTGTATAGATTTCTGCATTTGTTCCTGTTGTATCTTCATTTGCTCTTGTTGTTTTTGCCATTGATCCTGCTGCAATTTAAACTGGCTTAGCATACTCTCCTGTAACGCTCGAAATTGTTGCTCCATTGCCTCATTGTTATTCTCGGGGTTCTTTACTGCCCCAAGATTTTCGAGCGCTTCTACTTTCCGACGGCCCTGTTCCACTATTCCCATCGTAATAGCTCTCAATTCTGCCCCATATGTTCTCTTTAAAATATGGCTCATCTTTTTGTTCATATAATTCTAATTTCGCTTGATTTGTCCTGGCTTCCTGCATTTTGTTCTCCAGCGACTTTGAATTTGCTTCTAAAGCAACCTTCCTAGTCGTTCCCGATTTCAGCTTCTCTGAAATCTCTAATATTTCCTTGAGGATTTGATTTTGGCTTTTATATAAGGTATATCTTTCTGCTGACATTTTTATTTGCTTCTTTGGATTAATAATTGGTTTACTTTAATATTTGCCTTTAGGCCTCTCGGATTTCTTAAATTTATTTCGTCTTAAAGTCTTTTTGACTAATTTCTCTTTCTACAGTTTATTATTCTTTAATAGTTTTACCTTTATTGATTAAATCTCTTCTGTTTCCAATTTTCCGCTATATTCTAATTTCTTAGCCTCTTTGGCTTTTTAATTTTATGATTTTTTTTTCACTATAATATTTTTTTTCTATTGGATAATAGCCTTGTTTCTTAATTCTTCACTATTTTCTCTGTTTTTTTTGTATAATATTCTTTTCACTGTAACTTTCACAATTATTTTTTTCAAATAGAATTCATTCTTAAATTATATATTCTTTTTTTTTTTGGATAATATTCTTTTCAATGTGACTTTCACAATTATTTTTTCAAATAGAATTCTTTCTTAAATTAGATTTTTTTTTTTGATGTGCACACTTTTCCGGTCACTGATTCTTTTTTCTCTTTCGAAGGACCACTGTTTACGCGCGTATTAATAAAAGATGTTGCCGGCTTGGATGTTGGTTGAGTACTAATTTTATTTAAAAAAAATATTGTCCTTAAGAGCTACATATGTTATTCGAACTTAGCCTAATGCAACCTAATAATAATTCTTATCTCTTCCTTCTTAATCCAGTGATCTTCTCTACCTACTGTGTGCATAGATAAGTGCGTGCGTGGGTCACAACCTTTATTATCATACAACTTATCGTATGCACCAGTGTACATGATCAATGAAGGTTACACATATGGATTTAATGGCTGGGAAACTCACATATGGATTTAATGACTTCTTGGAAATTGATAACATTGAAAATTCTATCTTAAGTACATAAAATTCATAGCAAATAAGCAATAACATTAATGACAGATCTATATTACAATTTTTTAACTAAGACACTTAATCATTTTATTACTTCTTCTAAGCTAGACAAGATAAAAGAAAGATTCATGTTCATATTTTTATGAACAATATCTTTTATTTATAATAAGTATTAACAATACAATTAAATATAATAAAATAAATAAAATTATAACAAATTTTAATTATAAAAAGGATATATACACTTTAATTTCAAAAGCTTTATAACATAAGTATTAATTTGTATTTGAAATGAAATAGTTATATAAGTTATATATGTTATTAAACAAATTTTTAAAATAATTGAATAGAAATTAGTTTGTATTTCAAATGCATATATATATATATATATATATATATATATATATATATATGCATTTGAAAAGCGTTTCAAAAGCGTTTCTACTCAAATATTTTATTTATTTTTTTTTGAAACATTTAATTTAAAGTTATATAACAATATATAAAATAAATAAAAACTATATGATATATGTACTGAATTCAAAATTTTTAATTAATAAGATTTTAATTACACATTACATTGATAATAATAAAATAAAGTATTTGAAAAAAAAAACGTTTTTATTCCCCAAAGTAGAAATTTGTATGAACTTTTTTAGAATCTGTGAACTTTTTTCATTGCTTTCAGGAATAGTTTTATTCCATTAATGAAGAAGTTTCATTTCAGCAGATATCTCACTGCACTAATGAAAGCGTATCATGTCATTAACGTAGAAGTTACAGTGTATTAATGAAAGTTTTTCATTTCATGAACGAATGTTTTTCATTGTAATGAATATCTTTCATTGTATTAATGAAGAAATGCCATTGCATTAATGAACAATTTTGTTAATTTTACATTTATGAAAGAACTTTTGCATTATTTTTATATTGTTTATTTTTACATTAATAAATATATATATATATATATATATATATATATATATATATATATATATATATATATATATATATACATTGACCCTTTTTTGGGGAGGTTCCAGAAGAATTGCTTCAATCTCTACCATCTATATAACAGATCTTGTGTTATTTAGATGCTTGAAATATTTAGATGCAGCAAGACTGAATGGAATCGAATGATAATTTCGCGTTTTATCAGGTTCGTTGATATTCAAAAATGTTTACCCTTTGTGGGCGAGGTACCAGAAGGAGTGCACTGATATATCCTATCTTCACAGCAGATCTTGTGTTAGTAAAAATAATGTATGAGAAATGTGAAGAAACCCGGATGCTTATTTCGGATTTTACAATCGTTTTGTTTATTCAAAACTTTGACCCTTTGTGGGGGATGTACCAGAAAGAATGGTCCGATCTCTACCATCTTTTTGACAATCTTGTGTTGATGGAAATATTGGGATGTACCAAGTCTGAATGGAATCGGATGTTAATTTCCCGTTTTATGAGCTTCATGGGTATTCGAAATTATGGCCCATTGTGGGGGAGGTACCAGAAGAAGTGGACCGATATATTCTATCTTCACACCAGACTTTGGTTTAATAAAAAAATTGTGATATGCGTAATTTGAAAACAATCACATTCCCTTTTCAAATTTTATAAGAATTATAATTATTCCAAATTTTGACTCGTTGTGGGGAAGGTACTTGATGCAGTGGGCCGATATTGTCCATTTTCGTACCTAACCTAGCATTATGGTACATTGTGGGCGAGGTACCAGAAGAAGTGGACCGATATATTCTATCTTCTCACCAGACTTTGATTTAATAAAAATATTGTGATGTGTGTAATTTGAAGACAATCACATTCTTTTTCACATTTTATAAGAGTCATAATTATTCCAAATTTTGACTCGTTGTGAGGAAGGTACTTGATGCAGTGGACCGATATTGTCCATTTTTGTACCTAACCTAGCATTGATACAAATATTAGGATCATCCATTATCTGTCTGTCTACATTTTTTTTTAAATTTCGACCTATTGTGGGGGAAGTACCAGAAGGAGTGGACCGATATTGTCCATCTCCGAACTCGATCTAAGTGTGATAATAATATTACGATTTGCCAAGTTTGTACCAAATCGGATGCTACCTTCGAGAGTTATTGTGCGGACATCGCTATATCGACTCCAAATGACCTGAAACGGAGTCAAAAGACCGTTATTTCGATGAGGCACGTTTTGGCTGTATGAGTCAAATGGCTGAGGGTATAAAAAGGCTGTGCTCCATGTATTTGGCTTATGTGGCCCAGTAGTTGCAAACGCTAACGAAACGAAAAAAACCCCTCTGTAGGGGAGGTGCCAGAAGGAGTGCACTTATATATCCCATCTTTACAGCAGATCTTGTTTGTAAAATTAATGTATGAGAAATACGAAGAGGCCCCTACGCCTACTTCGGATTTTATAACCGTTTTGTTTATTCAAACATTGACCCTTTTTTGGGGATGTACCTGAAGAATTGCTTCAATCTCTACCATATATATAACAGATCTTGTGTTGCTTGAAATATTGAGATGCAGCAAATCTGAATGGAATCGAATGATAATTTCGCGTTTTATCAGGTTCGTTGATATTCAAAAATGTTTATCCTTTGTGGGCGAGGTACCAGAAGGAGTGCACTGATATATCCAGCAGATCTTGTGTTAGTAAGAATAATGTATGAGAAATATGAAGAGACCCGGATGCTTATTTCGGATTTTACAAGCGTTTTTTTTATTCAAAATTTTGACCCTTTGTGGGGGATGTACCAGAAAGAATGGTCCGATCTCTACCATCTTTTTGACAATCTTGTGTTGATGGAAATATTGGGATGTACCAAGTCTGAATGGAATCGGATGTTAATTTCCCGTTTTATGAGCTTCATGGGTATCCGAAATTATGGCCCATTGTGGGGGAGGTACCAGAAGAAGTGGACCGATATATTCTATCTTCTCACCAGACTGTGGTTTAATAAAAATATTGTGATATGTGTAATTTGAAGACAATCACATTCTTTTTCACATTTTATAAGAGTTATAATTATTCCAAACTTTGACTCGTTGTGGGGAAGGTACTTGATGCAGTGGGCCGATATTGTCCATTTTCCATTATGGCCCATTCTGGAGGAGGTACCAGAAGAAGTGGACCGATATATTCTATCTTCTCACCAGACTTTGATTTAATAAAAATATTGTGATGTGTGTAATTTGAAGACAATCACATTCTTTTTCACATTTTATAAGAGTTATAATTATTCCAAATTTTGACTCGTTGTGAGGAATGTACTTGATGCAGTGGGCCGATATTGTCCATTTTTGTACCTAACCTAGCATTGATGGAAATGTTAGGATCATCCATTATCTGTCTGTGGACCGATATTGTCCATCTCCGAACTCGATCTAAGTGTGATAATAATATTACGATGCTACCTTCGAGACTATATCGCTATATCGACTCCAAATGTCCTGAAACGGAGTCAAAAGACCGTTATTTCGATGAGGCACGTTTTGGCAGTATGAGTCAAATGGCTGAGGGTATAAAAAGGCTGTGCTCCAAGTATTTTTCTTATGTGGCCCAGTAGTTGCAAACGCTAACGAAACGTGTAAGGTAACAATATGTGCCGACATAAATAAGAACAAGTTAAAAAGCACTAAGTTCGGCCGGGCCGAACTTTTAATACCCTCCACCATTTGCAACGATTTTGGAAATTTTTAAAAAATAAAATCCTTAAAAACTTCTGTTAAAATTTTAAAAATACCGAATATAGCCGTCATATTGGGGTCTATACGACGTGGACATACATAGGCATTGCTTGTCATAAGCCATTACCATATTCAAATTGGAAACTTGAAATAAACGGTAAATAATGTAGCTAAAATCATCAAAATATCGTATATAAGGAGGTGCCGTTAAATTGGAGCTGTGCAAAGACCTGGACCAGCATAGACAGTTTTCTGTCACAGGCTGTAGCATCCATTACGAACTTCAAATACCACATTTCAAACAATTTCGGTGGGTATTGTACCTAAAATCGTCAAAATACCGAATATGGGGAGGTACTGATATATGGGGCCTATACGAAGACCTGGACCCGCACAGACAATTTTCTGTCACAGACTGTAGTTTTCATTACGAACTTCAAATACCAATTTTCAAACAATTCCGGTGAATAATGTCGCTAAAATCATCAAAATACCGAATATAGGGAGGTACCGTTATAGGGGGGCTATACGAAGACGTAGACCTGCACAGACAATTTTCTGTCTTAGGTTGTAGTATCCATTTTGAGCTTCAAGTACCAAATTTGAAACAATTCCCGTGAATAATGTCGTTAAAATCACCAAAATACCGAATATCAGGAGGTACCGTTATATGGGGGCTATACGAAAAAATGGACTTGCACAGACAATTTTCTATCTTAGACTGTAGTATTCATTACGAACTTCAAATACCAATTTTGAAACAATTCCCGTGAATAATGTCGTTAAAATCATCAAAATACCGAATATCGGGAGGTACCGTTGTATGGGGGCTATACGAAGACATGGACTTGCACAGACAATTTTCTATCTTAGACTGTAGTATTCATTACGAACTTCAAATACCAATTTTGAAACAATTCCGGTGAATAATGTCGTTAAAATCATCAAAATACCGAATATAGGGAGGTACTGATATACGGGGCCTATACGAAGACCTGGACCCGCACAGACAATTTTCTGGCACAGACTGTAGTTCCTATAACGAACTTCAAATACCAAATTTGAAACAATTCGCGTGAATAATGTCGTTAAAATCATCAAAATACCGAATATAGGGAGGTACCGTTATATGGGGGCTATATGAAAACGTGGACCTACATGGCCCATTTACGAACTTAACCTGCCTACTGGAAAAATAAACATGTGTGCAAAATTTTAGCCATCTATCTCAATTCATTCGAAAGATAGCGTGATTACAACAGACAGACGGACAGACAGACAGACGAACAGGCAGACGGACATCGCTAAATCGACTTAGAATTTTACGCTGATCAAGAATATATATACTTTGTTGGGTCTGACATGAGTATTTCGAGGAGTTACAAACGGAATGACAAAGTTAATATACCCTCCATAGTATGGTGGAGGGTATAAAAAAACCCTCTGTAGGGGAGGTGCTAAAAGGAGTGCACTGATA